TAATTCCAATGACGAATTTGAAAAAAAATATTTAAATTATATCTCTTTGAGGCCTCCGTACAGTCCGTTTTTCTGGACGTCGTAAGAATACTTAATACCGCAAAAGAATTTAATCGAGATGAATTTCGATAGATTTAAGCTTAAATTGTCAAAACAATCAATAAATAAACTTATAAAGACACCGAATGTTGTTTATTCAACAAATATCGAAATTACGAGTTTGCTTCAGAATAGTTCGTCCTTGACCATGGTCATATTGACATTAACGACAACTCTCAGAGTGAAAGTTGCAGACTAACGACACCCAGCCTGAAAGACGGTTACGCCTCAAATTCATCAGGCTAAGGATTATCTTTCGAATGCAATATTTTGTTAAAGGTTACTTGTGATTAGAAATAGTGAACAGAGTTTTGTATGGGGATGTTTTTATTTGTGAAAATTGATAATATATGCTGAAAGACACAAGAAACACGTTCGAAGATTACTGAAAAAATGGGAGGAATTTGGTGGTCTGAAGGGGATGGATGGATCCGATAGACAGAGACACTTGCCCAAGCCTGTTAATTTGCAATCCAGTATTAACTTTGACCAAAACATTCATTCGTACTAAAGGAATACTTATGATGTAAGCAAGGAAACACTGGAGACAGTTTACTGTAAACTATGGCAGCGCCGATCGAGGTGTTTGTCAGCTGTTTCTGGCGTGATTGCAATACTTTGATATTTTTAAAATGATTTACACTTTTATCATAAGTAGATATAATTGAAAAAATACATAGGTCGGCAAATATCATGAGGATTTAACTGAAGGTCTAGGCCTACCAAAAAAAAAAATAAGGATAAACGTTATCGACTGTGCAGCTGAAAATGTGTCATAAAAATTGCAATCAAAGGCTAGTTACAAGGGTTAAATTGATGGCCAAAAAATGTGTGAAATGTACTTGTTTACATTGTGAATAAAACAATTATTTTGCTTGCACATTTTGTTCACTTTTTATACATGAAAAGCAAGTAGAGTAAGTCATTTTATATAAAATTTATATACCGGTGGATATTATTGCGCCGTGTGATTCCGCCATTTATTGACCTCTGACGGTGATTTCCAGTCGTTGTATAAACAAAGGGATTCTACCTAAATTTTGCCTAAACTGGGCATATTTATTTATTTTGGGTTAGGAAATAAGGGCATGGCGCCGAGAAAAAGGGGCATGCTAGTTTGCTTTGGATTTAACACTATCTGACCTCAGACACACTTGATACAGAATTAAAGATATTTGCTCTCTGTATGTTTATATGATGTAAAGATACCAGAAATGTATATATTATCAATTATAGACAAATAATGCAGGAAATTTAGCATAGATTGAAACAATAAAATATTCTTTCCCCTTGGTTTTACATTTTTTTTAAGTCTTGCTGTAGACTTGCATACTCTATCTATAATTTATCTATAGCCCTGTCATGATAGACAATTTACGATTTTCCTGCAATTTTTGTCTATTATTGTTAACGTAATAATGTAACGTATATAATGACATCATAATGAGCTAAAGTGCAATATTTATTTAACGTTATATGACGTTGCAGTGATGGTACGTACTCATATTCTTTCAACAGAATCAATATTTACAAATTTAAAAAAAAAAATCTCATCCAGAGACCATATGTTTAAATAAATGCGAGCATGTACAACGAAAATATTTTCATAATGTTGATGAAAACAAAATGTACAAAAACGACAAAACACATTGTCAAATCTTTTTATCAAATACGTTCATTTACAAAACATTATGCGACAAATTCAAATAATTAAGTACATAATTAAAGTGAACGTTGAAGGATAACCTTTGAGGTCGAGAGAAGTCTGAAATATAAAAGCTGAAGCGTTAGTCGAGGTTTTCTTTTTTATTACGCTGTTCCATTTATCACCTGATGATAAAATTGTTTGCTTATAAGTTTGTGTATCAATTGCATAAAATGTGTACGATTTCAGCTTTCGGTGGATTAAAAATGCATCCTTTCATAACAAAATAAATTTGGTTTTAATATACATTGATTAATTTTTATGAATGTGAAGTAATAAAATGAGTTGTCAATTTCATTGTTTTATCAGTAAAATCGGGAAGTGTAAATGTTGCGGGAGGCCCGTGGAACAGCCCCACCTGGCTATACGAGGGCTGTTCAATAAATAATGTCATTGGCTCGTTGACACACAACATAGACAATATATGATATTAAGTCTGACTTTCTCTCATGATTGAATCTTTAATGAATTGATAACAGTTTATGTGACCACTTTTCATCACATAGTTTGATTTTGGGAAGCTGGAAAATAAGTTATTCGAAACAATGCATTAAAAATGGATGGGGAAGAATCTCTTTCATACACACTTTTGTAGATGGATTTCTCATCAATACACAGCAAGATTGCCACTTTTCCCTAGGATTAAGAATAAAGTAAAAATTTGTAAAAATGCAAGGATGGGTCAATCAAACCCGCCAGAAAATTTTTCAAATGAAATAAGATTTTTAATTAATTTTTGTGTAAAATGCTTTTAAAATATTTAATTCGTGATATTATACAGAAAAATGTTAACTTCAAATCTGTGTCCAAGTACCTTTAAGATTCTACATATATCAAATACGAGGGGTCAACAAAGAATTCACGAATCAAATACGAGGGGTGAACAAAGAGTTCACGAACTATCTCTTAATCTACAAAACCACAGTTCAGATTAGAAAAAAAGTTGGTACACACATAGCCATACACTAGGTCTATTAATAGAATATGTTGAATAAAGTTTTGCTCTTTCCTTTTGGCGTCACAATGTGACCGTTACAAAGTGAAAATGACGTCACTATGGAGGTCACTTGTGACGAAAAAAGATTGTCTCCGTCGAACCCATTCAATAAACGACTGTAAAATTCATAGTATATCTTAGAAATACCTTTGAAGTAGGGAATAATAATTTTTATACAGTTAATTAATGACTGTAAACTCAATCACTGATTGGATGGATCGATTGAGTGAAGGAATGCAGATGCTTAAAAATTATACTTGTTATGTTGCTCAGTGAAAACAAGTTTTAATTAAGCAATTTTCAATCAAAGACCTCCTATTTACACTTTTAAAAATAGTTGATATAATTATCAAATACCTAAGATTTCGTTTCCGTTTGATTTTAAACATATTAGATATGATAAAGAGGAGGCACCCTTTCTCTATCTGCCTTGAATAAACGTCAGAAGATTTTGGTTTGGTGGTCGCCATGCTTAGTTTATGAAAGGATACTCTCATTAACCCATTCCATTGCCGAGGTTTGACCATTTCTGACAAATTAACTGTTCTTGTTATAAAAATTAACTTACATGGACAGAAATATAAAATTCAGAAAAAATCTGTCAGCTTTTTTGACAGAACCCTACGTAGGGGGTCACGTGACAGCCTATATCACGTGATTTGTGCATGAGCAGAACGGTGACAGATGTGCATTAAAATCGGAGAGGACTAATTTAAAATATAATCAACACTGAAACCAAACTTTGTTTTTTTCGTGGAAATTATTCAATTAGTTCGTGAACTTTTTTGATTAACCTTCGTAAATATGCATGGTTTTTCAAACAAACTAGAACTATTTTTGACTATGTTTTAAAAGCTTCCAATCTGAGTAAACATTTGAGTAAAAAAATACGTAAAAAGTATTTTTTTTTTCTCTCTTAGAAAACGATCAAAACTTTTTGTTTTTTACCATTTTGTATTTTTCTTGTGACAACTTTACATATGTGAAAATGAGAAAAATTAAATATAGGAAGCAGATAATAATAACTAATATATCCTAAAAATGTATGGGGAAATTCGGAATAGCCTATATTTATTTTAGTTAAATAATTTGTTGAATAATTTGTGTCAATAATCATATAGGCCTTTTATGGTAGCATAAAAAAAAACCATTCATTCATTTGAAATACTAGTAAGGGTCGCATAATTGGCTACATTAGTTTTTATTATTATCAATGTCCAGGAAATTTCTCTGATACCATCATTTAGTGATATTGTCTTCTTGATTCTTTGAATATCTTATTAATTTTTAAATACAAAAAATATGAGAAGAATCCTACCTTAGCTCTGTCTTGTTTTATATAAGAACTAATCAATTTAACTTAAGCACTTTATTTCAAAGTTTACATTTTAACGGCATTCCATGCGCACTATCCGTGACATATAAAGATCTCGATTTAAAAAAAAAAATGAAAAGTTACATCAATAAAAATGAAATCTATCTGACTTCGTTTTTCCTAAGAAATATTTTGATAAAAAACGATGTATATAAAACATATTATTGAAACAAAAACGCCATTGTCCACGAACTTTTCGGACAATCCTCGTATTTAATTGAAACCATTAAGACTAAATCATAAAAAAGCGTTTTTGTTTCTTTCCGAGCACCGATAACATTATTTATTGAACAGGCATCGTAAAAGGATATTTAGCAACTGTTGCAGGTAAGAAAAAATCGTGACGTGCAAATCAAAGCATTTTTATAGGAAAATAATGGGCAAACTTAGCTGCAATTTTCAGTGAATATTCATTATTATTATGTTCATAAGCTTTAATTAGAAAACGCACGAGTATTTTTTAAGATAAAAGTATTAACGGAAAACTTAGATAAGAAAGAAGTAAAGGTTATCCCTTTCTTAATCATTTGTTTTTTTTGTCTTTTTTTAATATTTTAAGGCACTATTTTTGGCTATATAATAATAATATAATAATAATTTTCTATAGCGCCCTATATTATAAAAATATTACCTAATGAGCTTTTCATAGAATATACATAAAATATTGCATATATTAATAAAATAAAACATTTTTGTAAATGTCTTGTTTCGGTAAAAAAAAAATAATAAAATACATTTGCTATGGATTAAAAAATATGTAAGTATACGGAAATTGGGCAGTTGTACACAAAAAACATGACTTTTTTGTTGTAGTCTTTGAGCCCAAAGAAACTTAAGTCTAAGTGTGTTTCGTGATCCTGGGACCTGTACTTATAATTTGATTATGACATATAAACCAAAATGTAGCCAGAGGTAAGAGTTCTTGTTTACGTTCATCCCATTGCTTGAAGCATTCTTCACAGCATATCCTGAATATCTATGTAAAAAGAACAAAACAGGCTTAAATGTGAACATTTTGATTGGTTTTAATCATTTTATCTACTAGTATTTAATTATTATAAAGCCTTTTTTTCAGAACAACTTTTACGTTTACGAAGTTGCCAAGTCAAGACATGATGGTTTTCCGAAGACGTGCTATCAGACGAACACAGAATTATGGTATATTCTATTTTTTTTTATTTGAAGAAGTCTCCTTTTTACCTCGAAGAAAAATTAAATCAGATATATCAAGTACTTTCTATTTGTTATTCATGTGAGTTTTATAAGCTCTTTAAAGAAAAAAAACATGATTGTGTGATTACCGATTGTCGAAGCTTATGGTACTGGTTTCTAATGCAGCTGTGTAGCATTCCGCATCTAAAACACATATACAAACTATGTATCAACGATTCTATTAGCCTAATGTCAAAATGCATTTTAATTGTGACACATCAAAGGGAAGATCAGTATTACAGTTCGTGCAATGGAAAAAAAAGTTTTAAATCATTGATTTTATTACTTATAGTTAAATACATATTTTTAAAATATTTTCACAAAAAAGCTAAAGTTTCGGTACAAATAAAAAAGTACATAATTATTCCTGTTTTTTTTTTTCTTAGATTTTTAGACACATGAGGATTACAATATTCAATGAGCCTGAAGGGCAAAGTGAGTATTGTTCTTCGAAGGTGGCTAAATCATCGACAGCAATAACTGTTTTATCATGGGATTAAAAGAAAGCAAACTCATACAAGACTGCCATTGCTTTATTGAAAATCTTAACGAGAAAGTACAACAAGAGCACAGTGTTACAGTAAATATACGACATGAAAGATTACTTATGTTTACCTGCAATATTTCCTTATACTCAGTATTGGCCTGGAAAATCACGTGAAGGTAAATTTAACATAATATTTTTCTAACTTTCTACGATCTTAGCCAATCATGGAGAGGAAAATTATTCAATCACATAAACTTTAATATTTCTCTAAAATGTGGAAGTGGTTAAAAAAATAAAATCCATGATAAAAATTCCACGCAGTAAGAATATATTATCTTTTTCCTTTATGTCTTCCTTAATACTAATTGTGACGTCATGAATATTTTTAGTGGATTTTCTTTTATTTCATATACAGCAAATGGATTGCCCATAAATATATTATTAAATGCAATTTTTAAATACTGTATACAGGATAATATTCGCCCCGTGTTTTGTCGCCTTTATGCTCTTGGAAACAATTTTGTTCCATTTTAAATTCATTCATTCACAGTTTTATGTAATAAATCATACCATGTTCGTTTAAGTTGTTAAATTTATCCAACTGAAAAAAGGTTGAAAGGGCGGAAAAAAAAGGAGGATGAAAATTTCCCTGTATAAAGTAATTTTTCATAATAACAAAGTAAATTGAGCGACTGTTTTCCTAACTGAAACCATGAAGAGTCCTTTTGTTTTTTTTTTCAAATCTCAAAAATGTACCAAATCATGACGTCCAGAATGGTCTTCCATCATGCCACTTTTTTAGCTCACCTGAGCCGAAGGTTCAAGTGAACTTTTCTGATCACATTTTGTCCGGCGTCCGTCTGTCCGTCTGTCTGTCTGCAAACTTTTCACATTTTCTCAAGAACCACTGGGCCAATTTAACCAAACTTGCCACAAAGTATCCTTGGGTAAAAAGGATTCAAGTTTGTTCAAAGGAAGGGCCACGCCCTCATTCAAGGGGAGATAATTGGGAATTAATGAAAATTTGGTGGCGTATTTTAAAAATCTTCTTCTCAAGAACCACTGTGCCAGGAAAGATGAAACTTATGGGAAAACATCCTTAGGTAGTGTAGATTCAAATTTGTTCAAATCATGGTCACCGGGGGTAGGGCGGGGCCAAAATGGCCGACCAAAGTTTTATATTGAAATATATAGGAAAATTATTTAAAAATCTTCTTCTCAAGAATGACAAAGCCATAATTCATCTTATTTATATGGAAGCGTGTTTAGGTAGTGTAGATTCAAGTTTGTTCAAATCAAGGCCACCGGGGGTAGGGTGGTGCCAAAATGGCCGACCAAACTTTTACATAGAAATATATAGGAAAATTCTTTAAAAATATTCTTCTCAAGAATGACAAATCCATAATTCATCATATTTATTTGTAAGCATGTTCAGGTATTGTAGATGCAAATTTGTTCAAATCATGACCCCCGGGGTTAGGGCGGGGCCAAAATGGCTGACCAAAGTTTTACATAGAAATATATAGGAAAATCTTTAAAAATCTTCTTCTCAAGAATGACAAAGCCATAATTCATTTTATTTATATGGAAGCATGTTTAGGTCGTGTAGATTCACGTTTGTTCAAATCATGACCCCCGGGGGTAGGGTGGGGCCAAAATGGCCGACCAAACTTTTACATAGAAATATATAGGAAAATTCTTTAAAAATCTTCTTCTCAAGAATGACAAAGCCATAATTCATCATATATATATATATGGAAGCATGCTCAAGTAGTGTAGATGCAAATTTGTTCAAATTATGACCCCCAGGGGTAGGGCGGGGCCAAAATGGCCGACCAAAATTTTTAAAGATATATATAGGAAAATTCTTTAAAAATCATTTTCTAAAAATAGCAAATCCATGATTGGTCAGGGGACTACTTTTGGATTTAAACTTTACAATAAAGAGCCATTTTCTACTTTTTCCTACCATTAGTGCTCAGGTGAGCGATGTGGCCCATGGGCCTCTTGTTATAAATCATTACATATTAATTCATTTCGTACTTAAGCCAATTTTGTAACGTTTTGAAAAGAGGAATTTTATGGACACAATGAAGCAAAAACTATGCCTTGTTCGTAGGTCTTTGTTAAAATTTTATGTATATTGCTCCCTCTAGAGAAATAGATACAAATTACAATTGCATGTAGCTTTATTTTAAGGCCCTAAAACCATATTCTTCTTGATACCGTTAACAATGGAACTATCAGAAACTAAATAAAACTTACAATGGTATGCCTCTGTAGACCAGTATGTTTTGGTACAAGAAGAACACGTTGGTCTGTAAAATTCCTGAATTCTCCCTCCTTTATTGTTATATTCGGCACAGTAATCTAGTAACGATGATCAGTAATTTTATGTTACATGTACGTGTAATTATTTCCATAGTTTTGAACAATTGTAAAAAAAAATGTATCTTTAGTGCAAAATCTTCTTTTCTTTTTTTCAGATCAATATATTTCATAATAAGAATTAAATTATCACATAGTGATCATTATTTCTTTAACAAAAAATCTTATTTTTGTTTGAGGTACAATAATATACAAAAAGGTTTTTTTTTAAATTTAAAAGTATTTCCTTGAAATTTTTGATACTGATACACACTGAAGTACCTGCACTAATTTTTGCTTTCTGTGCACAGACTTCAATGGTACTGTTTTGCCATGGATTTATTAAACAATGATATAACAGTTCATGCAGACAATTGTGTGGAAAGGACGAGCAATTTTTTTCATGAGCCCGTCTTTCCCAAAGAACTTTAGTCGTTGGACATGAAGAAACTGGTGTCTCCGTAACTTGAGAGTCTTTACAAAACTCTTGATCATAACTGGAACAAAATCCCTGAAAGAAATTGCTATTTCATTGATGAAGTACATGTAATGTTCTT